ATAAAACAAACATGCATTTAAATGAATTTTATATATAAAATAATAATAATTCACTGCTGCGTACCAAACTAACTCTTCATGGAGATAYATAAAGCTTTTTGTCACAGAGCCCCTCCTCCCTCTGCTTCCATCATCATCACAGGTCTCCATGGCAACGAGCTGGAGGCGGAGGCTGCGCAGTTGGTACCCGCTCCAAAGCTGCACACTGCATCAGGGCCCGAGTGGAATGGAGGAACAGGACAAGAAAGAAAATGTACGTAGCCTCCTTTGTTTGTTTGTTTTACACTGTGCCCTTTGTGTTGTTGATGGAATCAGGACTGAAAGATGTTTACTTGTTTACATGGTTAGAGGAGAACATTTACACAATAATTTCTCCAGATGATTGACAGATCAATAAGGCTTTTGTRCAGAGCGATGGAGCGCAGCGTTGTGCTGATGAAAGGAAACCTGCAGGAACACACAGATTAAATGTGATGTGGTAAAGTCTTCCTCCCTCCTCTGATTAAACGTGTCTGTTGTTTCTCAGGAGGAGTATAAGGGAGACATTAAAGGAGGCATGAGGCCTTCAATGAAACTGGTTATCATGGGGATCGTCAACAAGAAGCCCAAGAGGTTTGTGGACTTGTTCTAGAAAGTCTCTGTTGTGTGTCTGCAGTATATAAAACACATTAAAAAGAGCACATGATGRTAAATTAAATGGATCATCAGTATTTTTCATGTCTTCTGAAAACATAATCAGTCCCTATTTGTCTAAATTATTTGTAATGTAAAGAGTTAGAGATGTCCTGTGAAGAGCAGTAAATCCCACATCACTGTACAACAATCATCCCTGTGAGCTCCCTGCTGACCCTGCACACAGACACACATCGAAAAGTTTCTTCTTTTGTCTTCATCTTTTCATTTTATTTTACTCTGTGACAGTTTTAGGAATAGTTTTTCTYTAATTTAACTACTTCTGCATGATTTGTGCTATTTTAGTCAAAAACATTCAGCTCAATCAAACAAGGGATACCTCACATTTTGGTGTTTATACTTTTTATACTTTTATAC